ACTTGGGAGACCTGCCTTGAGGTACAGTGTTCAGGTCACAGGTAGTCTGCAAGGTCAGGGCAGAGGATGAGACCTGGTAGACAAGGAAGGGTTGGTGGAGAACTGCCCTTGAGTCTGACCTTGAAGAGTTACATGCAGGAGGAGGAGGGCTCTCAGCTGGGAAGGGATGAGTCCCCACCTGGCATCAGGGTTGGGCTTCTGGTATGGTCCTAAGGATGGAGAATCGGTGCCCGAACATCAGCCATGCACAAAGGAGAGGGAGCCAGGGCTTGCCAACATCTGTCTTATAATGTGGTGGCTCTGCCCTCGGGGGGCTGGCAGTCCAGCTCACGCTGGCCAGTGGTCAAAGATGTAAAGTCGGCCAGAGGCCTGGTGGGGGAGCAGCAGCATCCATGTGGTGTGTGGGCGCAGTACTGCGGGTGAGGCTGGCAGAGTCGATGGGGCTGAGCTTATAAAGAGCCTTGAACACCAAGCTAAGATGTAAGTGAGCACATACGCCGTGGGACAGAGGAAGCCTCGGGAGATTTCAAGTAGGATCCCCAGACCTCCATTCCTCAAGAGACATAATTTAGAGCTCAGCTCCTGGGATTCAGACTGGAAAATATTCCAACCAAACTCACTCTGCCTCCACAACAAGCAGATCAGATTGGTGAAGGAGCAAGATTAGGAAAGCTATACTATAGGAAGCCAAAAGACCAGTCACTGGAAAAGGACATCATATTTGGTAAAGGAGAGGGTCCGCGGGAAAAAAAGGAAACCCTCAATGAGATGGAGTGGCACAATAGCTGCAACAAGGGGCTGAAACATACCAACCGTTGTGAGCACGGCACAGGACCGGGCAACGTTTCGTTCTGTTGTGCTCTCCCAGCCTGGTCCACAGTCACAGTTTCTTCCTGAGAAAGGGTGGGGCCTGTGCTGGCTACAGAAAGCAGCTCCTGCCCAAACTGGCCCCATCGACTCTCCCTGAGAGAGAGACAGCTCTTGGACATAGTGCGGGGGGAACTGGAACCAAGATTACCCCAGGCCTTCTTCATCAGGGTCCCTGGCCTTCTATTCCCAGAGAGTCAGGGAGCCAGGGACCAGAGGTAAAGACTGGAGGGTTCTTCAGAGGACCAGCCTTGAGCAGAGCACATATGGCCTAGGGAAGACAAGAAGGCATCTGTCCTCTCTCCTCTTGGCCAGAGTCAGAGCCAACTCAATGGCAACTTACAACAATAACCACCAGCCAGAGTGGGCTGATTCAGTATAAACTCATGACCCATATGCAAACTCTCACAGAACTTCTGAGGTCAAAATTGTTCAGCCCAGCCCCCGCTTCACAGGTTAGGAAACTAAGGCCCAGGCCAGTTAAGGGATTAGATCCAGTTCTTGGAGTGTGCCTGGCACTGTGCCCAGCTCAGCCAATGCACATGGGCATTAAATACACATGAAAAGGTCATCCCATAAACGAGGAGACTGTGTGACCTGAGAAAGCCACTCCCTCCCTGCTCCTTGGTTTCCTTTTCTTTAAAGTGAAGGAACTGGATTAGATCAGTAGTTTCAAGGCCCTGGGATGCTTTCTGCTGATGATGCAGATTCCTGGGCCCCAGTGACTCAAAAGATGAATCAGAAATGTGCTAATGTGCTCCTGGAAAGCTAGATGATCTCTAAAGTTCTTTCAAGACTAACATATCATGAGCTTTAATCACTGGGCTGCTGCCCCAGCTCCCACCAACAGGGCTGAGCTCCTCCACAGGCAGGCCCCAGCCTCCAGCCCCAGAGATGGAATGCTGGTTATGGAAGCCCTGTTGTGACTGTTCTGGTCTGTACTTTCTGAGGTAGCCCTTATAGGCCACAAGCTGGGAGTCCCCAGTGTACAAATCCACCCTATCGGCTGCCCTGAACAGCAAACAAACCATGCCCCAGATAACCCTCAAGTCCCTTTGCCCCTCACTGGCTGGATCCTTTGAGAAAGCTGTCTCACTTCTTTGAGTCTCCATCTCTCTAACTGTCAAAGAGAAGACCTTTCAGGGTGGTTGAAACAGTGTATTCACTAGCCCACAGTAGGCGTTCAGGAAAAGGAAGTTACTGTCATTTTCTTGCACTTATTTCTACACCTGAGCTGATCACCACTTGAATGTAATTTAGTTTAGATTCTGGAATGAAAAATGAGAAGAAAGTTGTGGATATTTATAGTAGGCCCTTGGCATTGAAGAAAGTCCCTGGGTGGCATGGTTTGCACTCAACTACTAACAGAAAGGTTGGCAGTTCAAATCCACCCAGTGGCACCAAGGAAGAAAGACCTGGTGATCAACGAGCATAACATTACAGCCATTGAAGACCCTATAGAGCACAGTTCTACTCTGAAACACTTGGGGTCACCATGGGTTGGAATTGACTCAGTGTCAGCTGGTTTGGGGTTTTTTTTTTGACAATGAAGATTTAATATTTGCATTGTCCATTATTTGAGAGTGACCCTGAAAGTCAATAATGCTAATTATGTGTAATAGTGATTTTTAAAAATCTACCTACCTCATAAGGTTGTGGGGAGGGTTAGATGAAATGATATATTCAAAGTTCCACTGAGGACTCTGCCAGGCTTTGGTGAGGGAACAAGTCACGCAGCCAGTGAATACGGCTAGAAGGCCACGAGCATCAGTGTTTCCATCAGAGCCTGGGTGAATTGTCCCAAGACATGTCCCTCAGGACTGTGAAGCAGCATTGTTATTGGGGTACAAATGGCCCCATGCACGCCACCCCTGACATTTTTACACAGGGGGCAGTGCAATGGTGAGGAAAAAGGCCTGGGCTGGGAGCCAGCAGGCCTGAGTTCAAGTCCCAGCTCTGCCTCTGTCCTCTGTGTGATCTTGGCAAGTTCCCCTCACTGAGCCTCAGTTTGCCACCTGCAGAGTGAGGGATTAGGCTAGGCCAGTGTGGCACAAATGGCTGCACACTCAGTGACTAGCCAAACGGTTGCCAGTTTGAACCTACCCAGAGGAACCACCAAAGACAGGTCTGGCGATCTGCTTCCGAAAGGTCACAGCCTTGAAAACCCTATAGAGCAGTTCTCCTCTGCACACACGGGGTCACTATGAGTCGGAACGGACTTGCTGGCCACCAGAACAACAGTGGTTCTCAATGCGTGATCCACAGACCAGCAGCATCTGGCAACATATTAGACATGCAAATTATCAGGCCCCACCCCAGACCTTCTGAGGCAGAACCTCTGGGAGTGGGGCCCAGCAATCTGTGTCCTGTCAAGTCCTGAGAATGGTTCTGATGCATGCTCCAGGGAGAAACACTGGCCTAATGCTGTCTAAGGCCCTTCCTGCTGAAAAGCTCAATCATCTGGATGGAAGCTGGGTTACAGATACAAGCCGGGGTGGGGCTGAGGGGGAATGTCACAGCAGGGTTCTATGCTGCAGCCTGGGGGCGGGTGGTGGGAAGGGCAGGGACAGGGGGTGTAGAAGAGAGGAGCATCTGGTATGTGGAAAACACCACCCGGCTTCAGGGTGCAGCACGCCCCACCCCCGATCCTCCTTGCCCATCCCACCCCCCACCCAGGGGGCCCCCCAAGCCTGCCTGTGAGTACAGGCAGGAGGGGTTAAGGGGCTAATCTGTCCTCTCTGGTCCTCTCCCCGGCCCCTGCCAGCGTCCACATAACATCCTTTTCTCCCCTGCCCCGCCCTTAAGGAACCATTCCCGAAAATGAGAGCCAGTGAGACGTCTAGTGGCCAGGGGACACCAGGCGCCTGAGACCCTGCCGTCCTGGGCTTTATGTTGAACAAATTGTAAATCTGGCCAGACATTTTAGGGAGGACGCCCGGACACCACGCCTGCTCCGACCTCAAATCTGAACCTAAAATTACAGGCTGGACGCTCCCCCCCAAGCCCCACCTTCAGGGAGGAGATGTGGCCTGGACAAAAGAGCTGCTCGGCCTGTGAGGTGGGTTGGGGAAAGCTGCAGAATGACTGTTAGAGAACAGCCTGGAATTCTTGCTGCCAGCTCACCTTCGTGTCAGCTGGGCTCAAAGGCTCCTTAAGCTGGTCTACCCACTTCTCAGTCTAGAAAACCCTATCACGCCAGTTTTCCTTTCAAGCCCCCCGGGAGGTGTGTGGAATCTGATTCACACAAACCTGGATTCTCTCCATCAGTCCTGGACAATGAAAATTGATGTCTGGCCCTAGGTTCAGCTCTGCACAGACAGGTTAAGTAACTTGCCTAAGGACACCCAGCAAGTTAGTGGTGGGTCTGCAGCTGGAGCAGGGGCTCCCAGACCCCACTGGGGCCCCACCCCTACACCATACCTTGCCTCTGAATAATGCTGCTTACACTCTGAAAAGCTTTACCCTAGATTAGGCTGCATTCTTGCTGCACCTGGATCTTTTGTAAACCCTCAGATTGTCTGCAGACAAAGAGGAGAGCCCAGGACTTAGGATAAGAAACCACACTGCGGGAGACTCGAGCAAGGTGCAGCCGGGCCTCTCTAGTCACCCAGATTAGTGCTGAGGACAGACAGGGCTCAGCACCCCAGGGACTGGGATAGGATGCTTCTGCTTTGGGCAGAAGCACAGGGTAGCTCAGGAGAGTGTGGGCGGGAGGTTAACCTGCAGTCCAGTATCAGGAGAGCTCTGTGCTGTCAGAGGACAAAGGGGAGACCGCTGACTTGGGGGTGTGCCCCCAGCCAGTCTGTTTTCAAGTATGTGAGAGGGCCCCTGATAAAAAGGAGCCGTTTGATTATGCTCAGCTGTATGTAAAAGGAGTTCTGGGGTGGAGGAGGCCTTTCAGGACACTGCTCCTTCTTGACTTCCCTCCATCTCCATCCCTTTACCCAGGTGAGTGGCCACACCTGTTTGGGCCAGGGCAGCAGTGGAAGGTAGATCCTAACATGGGCCTCATTCCTGGGGTTTGACCCCATGGTAGCATGGAGCCCCAGCAGGTTCTAGAGGGAGGGGGAGCAGAGGAGTAGGAGTGGCTCCAAGTGTTCCATGCAGGACTAACTCCGGACTCTGCATTGCAGGCAGGACAAGCTGAAGATCCACATGCGGAAGCACACCGGGGAGCGGCCCTACCTGTGCATCCACTGCAACGCCAAGTTCGTGCACAATTACGACCTCAAGAACCACATGCGCATCCACACGGGCGTGCGGCCCTACCAGTGCGAGTTCTGCTATAAGAGCTTCACGCGCTCCGACCACCTGCACCGCCACATCAAGCGCCAGAGCTGCCGCATGGCGCGGCCCCGGCGCGGCCGCAAGCCCGCAGGCTGGAGGGCCGCCAGCCTGCTCTTCGCGCCCAGCGGCCCGGCCCCCGACAAGGCTGCCTTCATGATGCCGCCTGCGCTAGGGGAGGTGGGCGGCCACCTGGGTGGCGCCGCCGTGTGCCTGCCGGGCCCCAGCCCTGCCAAGCACTTCCTGGCGGCGCCCAAGGGCGCCCTGAGCCTGCACGAGCTCGAGCGGCAGTTCGAGGAGACACAAATGAAGCTGTTCGGACGCGCCCAGCTGGAGGCCGAGAGGAACGCGGGGGGCCTCTTGGCCTTCGCGCTGGCGGAGAACGTGGCTGCGGCGCGGCCCTACTTCCCGCTGCCCGACCCGTGGGCCGCGGGCCTGGCTGGCCTCCCCGGGCTCGCCGGCCTCAACCACGTGGCCTCCATGTCTGAAGCTAACAACTAGGCTGGTCCTTGTCCACCCCTACTCCCCCACCAGGCCCACCCTGCCCCACCGGCTGGGTCTGAACTTCCTATTTTAAAAACAAAATGGAGAAGATATTAGCAGCAGTGGTATTTTCTAGGCCTCCTAAGTCAGCGACCCCCTTCTTGCTGGTGTCTGAGGCACGGCACCTCCTCCCAAGGGGTCTGGAACCCAGGTCTCACCACTCTCTGGCTGTGCCTCTGGTTCTCGTGCAGAAACTCCTAAGAGCCCGTTCTGCAGAGGAGAGGCCACACACTGGGTGCCCAGGAGCACTTTGGAGATATCCGGGTTTTGATGGAGGGGCGGTGCTTGGCTGGGAGGCAGCAGAGCACACAGGGATGAGGGCAGGGGCCTGGGGCCATCCTGGTGGAGCCCCATGGCCCTGTGGGGAGTCACCTCACTGCTCTGGTCGTCTTACAGTCTCCAGTCAGTGGTTCCTGGATCCTTTTGGGAAATGCCCATCTGCCACATGGAAAGAAATGCCCTCTTGGCAGGGAGGCCTCTTGGAGTCAGGAGCAAGGCTCTTGGAGTCCCGGCCTGTTTCTCCCTTGCCCTATCCTGTGACCTGTTTCGACCTTGGCCAACTCAGCCCTCTGTGCCTTGGCTTCATCTTGCTGGGAAAGGGGTAATCTAGGTCACACACACACATACACACACACACACACACACACACCCCATACACACACACACACACGGGGTAATCTAGATCATGTACATACACAGGGTAATCTAGGTCACACACACACACACACACACCCTATTCCTCCAAGGAGAGTCCTTGGGAGGGTAGGAGCTTGGCACTCCAAAAGTCCCTGGTAACACAGTTTATCTTATTGAATTACATTTTTATCACATGCACCTCTGCATTAGCACAGGTAAGAAATGTGGCCAAACTTTACAGGGATAACAGAGAGACATAGGTGGGGCTTCATTGCTCATCCTCAGCCTGCCGGCAGCTTTGGCAAATCCAAACTACCCTCTTTTCCAGCAGGCGACTGTTAGTGTCTAGAACCCTGGGGAACACTTTTTAGCATCTACCCCATCTCCACACTCCCCGCCCCCCGCCCAATCCTGATGGAGTCTCTTGGGATTCCTGGGGCCAGCATCAAAGGAAGGAGGACCACCACTTTACTGAACACCTGGCACTGCTTCCCTCCACCCTGATTCCTGAAAAACAGACCAAATGCCTGGCTACTCAGGATTTCTCTGTTTGCTTTTCAAGTTGTAGGTTTCTCAGGGCCTTGGCATTGCTGGCTGTTGCCCCTTTGCTGTGTTTGAACACCCTCACCCACTTGCCTCATCCCTTGGGATGCATCCAGGGCATTTAGCTCCATTCTTGGCAAAGGGGTCCGTGCAGGATGGCGAAGCTTTGGGCTCATATTCGTGGTGGGAACAGCTTGGGGAGTTAGGACTGTGCATACTCTACTGCTTCTTGAGTTTGCAGTAGGTCCTGAGAAAGAAGAGAGTTCTGCTGGCCTGGTGCCTTGCTGCCCTTCTCTTTTCCCTCCCCTCTCCCCTCTTGCTGAGTTAGGCCTTTAGTAGCCAGTAGCCCCGTGACAGTGCTCCATGGAAGCAGGAGAGTTCATCCACATGGGTGTCCCCATCCCAGAGCTGTGGGTGCGAGAGACTTCAGCTCTTCCTGTTGCCTTGGCTTTTTCCTAAAAACAAACAAAAAGGCCTGAGAAGACCAGAGACTCTGTTCCTCTCACAGCTCCCCAGAACAGACCCCCGACTCTGTGTGCCACCCGATGCCATTCCAGCCAAAAGAAATTGCTTCTTGACACGTCTGTTTTCAGAAGTCGTCTGCCTGGGCAGCCGCCTCTCAAATTCCATTTCAGATACTTGCTTATGGGACCCACCAGCCACCATGCCCATTTCTCCCCCCACCCCCAAACTTTAAAGGAAAAAAAAAAAAAATTGGAATCCAGTGGTGTTGGGGCTTTTGTTTTCTTTTGTAAAGGTTATGACTTATTATAAACTCAATTTTTCAGATGACTGGTTAGTTCTTTTTTTTTCCTTGGCTACAATTTGGAGTTGTACATTGTAAAATATCCAAAGATGCTAAGTACTGTATGATCAATAACTTGAAGCGAATGGGTTGTGGGGGGAAGGGTTGTTGTGTTTAAAAAAATTTTTTGATGTTTCGATTTCCCTGTCTGTGGGAGAACTTTGGAATTTTTTCTATTTATAACTTTTTTTTATGTGATTGCTCTATGTAAAATGACGCTCAACAAAGTTTGCCTTAGTGATTCAAGGGACAATCTTCCACAACTTTGGTTGCACGCCACATCCTGCCGAGACAAACTCTCAGCTAATTTCCTGGCCTATTTATTAAACAGTATTAATTGACTTGATTGAATTATATTGAGAGTCGCACTTCTGTCAGATGTGACTTCTGGAAGGTCACAGGACAGCAACAAGCCAATCTGTAGACGTTTCTTGCTCAAGGTTTTGACCACTGGGTGTCATGAACTTACAATAATGTCAGAGACACCCTTTTAAAAAAAACTTACATTTGACCTTTATTTATAGGGTTGCTGTGAGTCTGAATCGACTACAGCAATGGGTTTTGATTTAATAATTTGAAGGATAGTATTTTAATTAAAAGAAAGCTATGCTTGCTTAATTTCCTACTTAAGGTTGATTTTCCCCTTCAATTCTCATTTCAGTTATCAATGGGTGGTCATGTGGTGGGGAGGCCAGAACTCATTTCTTCGATAGTCTCTTACATTTCGTCCCTGGGTAGTACAGGTGGCTAATGCACCGCTAACTGAAAGGTTGGAGGTTCAGGTCCACCCAGAGGTACCTCAGAAGATGGCCTGGAGAGCTACTTCTGAAAAATCAGCCATTGGAAACCTTATGAAACAGTTCTACTCTGACACGGTGTCGCCATGAGGCGGAATCAACTCGCTGGCAGTTGGACTGGATTAGACTCTTAAATTTGAGTTTTGTGAGGCACTCTTTAATCATAAACCTTTGGGCATCTGTGAGCCTGAGTGCAAGGTGTGTGTGTGTGTGTGTACAAGCATGTGCGGGTACAGTATGTGGTGTGAGAGCAAGGAAAGCCGCGAGCTTGCTGACTTTGAATACAGCCGGTCCTACCAGTTCCCTGTCCTGGCTCCCGGAGCTGCCTTCTCTGGCCTTGCCACCATCTTGGTCTCCTTCCTCTCCTCCTGTAGAGCTAGAGTTGGGCTTTTTCTCCTTCTTGTCACCTAGACCCCTTTCCCAACCAGAGAACACTAGATCCTGAAAGAGGTAAGGAAATATACTTCTGTCGTTGAATGGAGTCACCTCTACTCAGAACCCAGAGCACAGGCTCTGAGTAATATTGTTCTTTCAGCCAAGTTTTCTGAATAACTGAGGCTTAACCCAGAGCCTCTTCTCTTCTCAATCCCCTTTCTTGCCATGGTGAGCACTCTTAGAAACCTAATGCAGCATTTCTCAGTACAGGGAAGAGAACAGATCTGAGTTTCAAATCCAAACTCCTCTGAGCTGTGTGTTCTGAGGCTAATCACTTCTTCACTCTGATCCTCACTATCCTCGTGTCTAATAATAGAGGGAAATGAGTACATTAGAGCTTCTCCAAGTTCTTTACCCAAGCTCCCTTCAGCAGAGGGGACCAGCCAGTGGGGTCATGGGGCTAAGCTCTAGGAAATAACCTGAAGCAAACTTCCTGTAGGGTAAAACTCCTTTGAAGTCACGTTTTGGCTTTGAAATTCATGCTTCTACATACATAATATATATAATTTGTCTTAATATAAAAATATTGCCTTGAACTACTTGCCAGTTAAATTACTTTGCCTTTTCCCCAGAATCTTCTAGTGAAGTCAGAGTGTTCTTTGGCTATCCTACAGCTTTGGGGGCCCAGCTCACGGCTAAAGGCTTAGGGGCAAGCATATCCCATTGCAAGAAACACAAGGCCAGAAACTCATTAAGATTTAATTCAGTTCAGGACTTCTAGGATCATTCTTCCTCATTCTGGGGGCCAGTGTCCACTGAGGGCCATAGGTGGAGATGGCCATAGGGAACTGGCCCGAATGGGCCCTGCCTCCTGAGTGCTTCAGAACAACCCCTCATATGAGTAAAATCTTCTAGTCCTCACCGGCTGGTATTCCATGGAGCCCTACCAGGCATGGCTTGTTCCCTTCAGCCCAAGAGGCTAAGAGAGCTGGGATACTGACAACAAAGGAACAGTGGAGGGAAGGAGAGTGAAAATATGAGAATGAGGTCCTTGAGGACAAACCAAAGAAACATGTGCATCTTAACCTAGAGAAGAAGGCTTAAGGGATATTATAACAGGCCTTGGGGCTGGTAGAGGTCTGTTGGGCAGAGGAAGGATTTTACGAAAAGCTTGATGAACTCAAACCAATGGGAGAGAGATTCCAGGAGGCAGCTGGGCACCCCAAGTAAGGAAAAGATAACTTCCTAATATCTAGAGTCGTCCTAAAGAGGAATGAGGTCTCATGTAAGGAAGTGAGATCTCGGTCATTGGAAAGCTCAACAACCACCTTTCAAGAATGCTGTAGAGGAGATTACTGTGTGAAAGAGAGGACTTACCATGCTGTCCCTTGGGTCCCTTCCATTTGATTTGAGAAAGGGTGACTATATAGCCCCATATGACCGTGGGAGGAGTATGCCAGGCAGAGTAGGTGACAAGTGAAAAAGAAGAATAGGACAAGTTCACAGAACAACATGATGACTAAGGCTTGTCCTCCCCACGTCCTCCCCCTGCCCCAACTTGGCCTACAGCAACCTGAGGCTAGAGAAGCAGGACTCTGGGTAGAAAAGGTCCTGACTCTTATTCTGAGACCCCGGATGTGTAACAGGAACAGTAGCAAACCAACAGGAATAAGACTGTCTCTCAACTGAGAACTTTGTTACCCCCTTACAGAAGAGAGCAGAGGCCTCCCCTGTCAGGGCCACAGAGTGTCACACGCCTCCTCACACCCCCCATGCGTCCTGTCTGGGACCCTGCCAGCTCT